TCCCGCTCCCGGCCACCGCAGCCTCGACCCGCTGGGCTCCGGCGATCCTTCCGCCTCAGCCTTCCGAGTAGCCAGAATTACAGGCATGCGCTACCCACACCCGGCTGATTTTTTGATTTATTGTAGAGATGAGGTCTCGCTGCCCAGGCGGGTCTCGAACCCGCGGGGTCAGGCAATCCACTCACCTCAGCCTTCCAAAGGCGCGGGATTACAGGCTGAGCCACCAAGCCCGGCTAATCTGTTGTTTCTAAATTTACTTTCACTCCAACAGAGGGCAATTGATTGTCTTCATGTCTTGACCCCTGGAGAGAGGGGGAAGCCATCCCCAAAGACTGATAAACATATTCTCCTTTAAATAACAGGCAAGACTGCTTGAGGACAAAAGCGGCTCCAATCTCCAGGGACTGCACATTCCCTATACCTTCCTCCTAAACTACCTTAGTCAGGCACGGCGACTCACGCCTATAATCCCAGCATTTTGGGAGGTGGAGGTGAGAGGATTCCCTGAGCCTAGGAGCTCAGTACTAGCCTGGGCAACATGGTGAGACCTCGTCTCTTCAATAAATCAAAAAATTAGTCAGGCATGGTGGTGCACACCAGTTGTCCCAGCTACTCAGGAGGCTGAGGTTGAAGGATCACTGGAGCCCAGCAAGTTGAGGCTGCAGTAGCCCTAATAGTGCCACTGCACTCCAGCCTGGGTGACACAGTGAAACTCTAATTCAATAATAATATTAATAATAATAATAATAACTACCTTTATAATGGCTCACTACCCAGTGGTGGTAGCTGATGATTACAGTACTTGCTTTATAGGTAGCATCTATTGCAAAACCAAGGAGTGGTATTTGAGATATTTCTCAGACTCTGGTGGATCTGAGGCCCCACCCAGGCTCCAAACGAATACCAGGAAGTTGACTCCACCAGTCCTGTGATGCCCCCTCCCAGAAATTGGCTCTTGCGAGAGGAAGACAACTCTTTACACCTCCCATGACATCATCAACCAATTAGCAGTCTCTATCCACCCACCAAATACCCTTTAAAAACCCTATCTTCTGAATTTTCAGGGAGGCAGATTTGAGAAATATCTCAAATTGTCTTTCTTACTCAGCTGCTTTGCAATATTAAACTCTCTCCACCATAGTGGCTGCATCAGTCTTGGTTTTTCTGGGCAGTGGGCATAAGAACCCAGTCAGGCTGTAACAAGATGGGGTGTGGGCAGTGGTCAGGATGCTGTTCTGGATGGATGTGTGAGAGGCATGTGGAATCGAGCATGTGCTGTGTGGGTATCCCGTGCAAAGTGTGGTCTGGGATGCATGTGTTTGGTGTCAGGGGGCTATTTGGTTGGAGGCAAATGGGAAGTGTGTAGTGTTGAAAGGGTGTGTTGGCCGGGCTCGGCGGCTCAGCCTGTCATCCCAGCACTTTGGGAGGCCGAGGCGAGTGGATGACCTGTGCCCTGGGTTTGAGACCAGCCCAGGCAATTTGGCAAGCCCTCATCTCTACAATACATAAAAAAATTTGCTGAGCCAGGTAGTGTGCACCTGTAGTTCCAGCTACTTGGAAGGCTGAGCTGGAAGGATCGCCGGAGCCCAGCAGGTCAACGCTGGGGTTGCCGTGAGGGTGCCACTGCACTCCAGCCTGGGTGACAGAGTGAGACTCTGACTCAAAAAAAGAAAAAAAAAAAAAAAAAAGAAAGGATGTGCTTGTATTGTGTTGGAATGTATGTTGGGCAGGAGTTGCAAACACTATAGATGTGTGGAGGGTATGCAGTCTCTGAGGGGCATAATACTGTTTGTGTGAGGTGTTGGTGAGTGTGTTGAGAAAATATAATTAAAAAGAAAATCTCGGGGGAGGCACACCTCATTAACAAGGGTACCTGCATAATGAACATTTGTATACCTAACCCTGCATTATACCCCACACCTTTCAAATAAAAAAATTAAAATATTTGAAAAAATAAAAGCAAAAAGAAAAGAAAATCTCTTAATCCACCAAACCTCTCCACAAAGGTAGCAGAGACCAAAAACTTTTTTTTTTTTTTTCTGTCCCGGCCTTGCAAGTCGTCGGAATTACAGGCTCACGCTACCATGCCAGGCTAATTTTTGATTCATTGTAGAAGTGAGTTCTCGCCAAGTTGCCCAGGCTGGTCTCAGGCTCAGGCAATCCACTTGCCTCAGCCTCTCTAAGTGCTGGGATTACAGGCTGAGCCTCCAAACCCGGCCACATTTTTATTATTGAATAAGCATTTAACTAGAATGTAATGTGCATCACAGGCAATTGCTAAAAGATTGCAAGGGCAGAAGGAAATCTCACCCCTTTCTATTTGTACCAAGTAGGTACAAATCATTATCCTGTTTTCTTTTTCTTTCTTTTTTTTTTTTTTGAGTTGGAGTCTCACTCTGTCGCCCAGACTGGAGTGCAGTGGCCGCTCCCGGCCACCGCAGCCTCGACCCGCTGGGCTCCGACGATCCTTCCACCTCAGCCTTCCAAGTAGCTGGAACTACAGGCGCGCGCCACCACGCCCGGTTAATTTATTGATTTATTGTGGAGACGAGGTCTCACCAAGTTGCCCCAAATGGTCTAGAACCCCTGGGCTCAGGCAATCCTCTCGCCTCCTCCTCCCAAAGTGCTGGCATTACAGGGTGAGCCACCACGCCCGGCGAGGGGAATTATTATGCCCACAACGCGGCTTGGGGGGGGTCAATATAGGGCGATACCCGCGAAGTCTCAGGCCTAATTCCGCGTTGGGTAAAAGCGACCCCTCAACACGCCGTCCTCTCCGGAACTTGGGGGCTTGAGGACTACAGTTCCCAGGATGCCCCGCTCCTCCACCAATCAGGAAGCCAGGTCTCTTCAATAGGCGGGTCCGGAAGAGGCTCTTAGGAAGAATGGAAGCCTGGCCAATGGGTGAACCGGATCGAATTAAAGCCTACGCTGATTGCGCCGCGGCTATTGGAATCTTTGGCGCCTTGGTTTCAGTGGTGGGCACGTGATGGGCGGGCGCAGCGACCAATGGGAAGGCGGGGAGGCGGAGCCAGAGTGTGTGGGCGGGAAGAGGCGCCGACTAGCAGGCTGTTGGCCCAATGAAAGGCGGAAGTCGCTGGAGGGGGCCGGGCGCGGTGAGCGGGGGCAGGCGTGCGTGGCGGGGAGTGTGTGCCATGGCGGAACCTGTGGGGAAGCTCGGCCGGCGCTCCCGAGGCGGCCGGGGCGGCCGGGGCCGGCGTTCGCGCAGCCGGCGGTCTCCAGCCCGGCGCACTCCGGATTCGGTGCTTGTGGACTTGGTCAGCGATAGCGACGAGGATGTCCTGGAGGTCGCCACAGTGCACGGTGCTTCGGACCCGGTTGCGGTTCCGCCCTCGGAGCCCCTGGGGCCGGCCGCGTCCCGGGGCGATAGCGACAGTGACAGCGAAGGGGCGGACGCGCAGCCCGAAGGACTCCCGCGGGAGCCAGTCATGCGGCAGCGGCGGCGGCTGCTGCTGGATCCCGGGGAGGCACCGGTGGTTCCTGTGTACTCCGGGAAGGTGCCGCCGGGTCCCCGGGAAGGGCTGGCGCGGAAGGGCCCGGGGCTTTGGGGGGCCAGAGGGGCTCGGGGCGCGGGGACGGGCTAGATCTAGGGCGCGTTGAGGCAAGGGTTCTGGGACTGGTCTTGGGAGGCTAAATGGAAGCTAGGGGCTAGGGTGTTGGAGGCAGAGAGATGCAGGGCCCCCGGAGTTCTGCAGAGGGGAGGTGAGGAAGGTAGGTGTGTTGGAGGTTTAGGATTCCCAGGAGCTCAGTCTTGGGGGCATCGGGAGGCTGAGGGGCTGGGGTCCTTGATGGTTCAGAGAGGGGCTGGGAGGACCTGGGACTGGTTGGAATATGTTGGATTGTGAGGTTGGGGTCTATTGCTAAAGAAGCCAGGGAGCCGGGGTATTAGGGGCAGGGTTTCATGCGGGTTCAGAGGGGACTAGGGGGCTCCGGGAGGTTGGGGTTCCCAGATGGTAGGATGAGCCAAGGGGCTGGGAGTCCTTAGGACTAGTCTAGGGTGGAGGGGTGGCTAGCAACCTAGATTTAACTAAAGGAGAACTAAACCTGCCTCTTCAGTGTGCTTTACAGAAAAGGAGTATAAGGAGAGGGTACTACAGTTTTAACTCCTGGGGAAGCTGGACTCCTGGGTCTCCAGGAAAGGACCATGGTGTCCACATCCCCAGTTTTTTCTTTCAGTTGAGGGAGGACTTGGGACTAACCCTCCCACTTTTTGCCTTTGCAGGTTAAAAGTAGCCTTCGCCTTATTCCAAATGACCTATCCCTCCTGAAACTCTACCCTCCTGGGGCTGAGGAAGGTAAGGGAGGCTTCCAGGGAGAAGTGCCCAGTGCTGGCTTCTTTGAGACTTCCTGGAGTTTATATCCTCACAGTCAGTTGTCTCTCGAGGCATGGGAAAGGGGACCCCTGTGTCCTAGCCAGGAAAAAGGCTCCGGTCCTGAAAGGAGCTAGATTTTTGTTTTGTTTTTTTTAGTTGGAGTCTCCAGCCCAGGCTGGAGTTCAATGGCACAATCATGGCCACCGAAACCTCAACCTGCTGGGCTCAGGCAATCCTTCTGTATCAGTCTGTCAAGTAGCTGGAACTACATATACAGCCGCCATACCCGGCTAAGTTTTTGATTTATTGTAGAGGCGAGGTCTCACTCTGTTGCCCAGGCTGATCTCGAATTCGCGGGCTCAGGCAGTCCTCTCACCTTGGCCTTCCAAGTGCTGGAATTATAGACGTGAGCCACTACACCTGGCCACCGAAGCTGGATTGTTAATCAGAAGGCACAGGAACTGACTGAGGAAGCCCCGTCAAACCACCCTCCTCTCTACTCTAATAGGCATAGAGTGTGTCAGTATACAGATTTCCACTGCCACCCCTAGAGATGCTGTAGTCCTGGGGGTGCTGGGAAGGAGGAGATGTTGAGAGTCTGTGACATTTTGTTACATCTGCAACAAGTTCCTTTGGAACACTCTGCAGTTGGCAGGATGTTCTCTGAATCTTATCAGCATTTTTTTCCTCCCCCAGTGGTAAGAGTTTTGCAAATCACTCAAGGTCAGGGAATAGGAATCAAGTCTAATAAGGAAGTGGTCCAGGGGCAAATGCAGACCTCACATCAAGACTTCTGTACAATGAGGGAGTATAGTAGAGTGATTAAGAGCAGACTTAGGAGCCATCTGACCTGGGTTTGAATCCTAGCTCTCTCCCTTAATAGCCAGATCATGGGCAGATTATTTAGTTTCTCAGTGCTTCCATTTCCTCATCAGGAAAATGAAGATAATACTAGACTTATGTCAAAGGATTTTGGTGAGACTAAATGAAAGGGAATGTATGGCGAGCCATCTCTTGGCTATGTACGTAGTTTAAGATAGTTCCTGGGACGTAAATTGCTATGTGGGAGGTACCTCCATCTTTGCTACTCATAATGTGTACCCAGCAGTGTATGGCATCCCTTGGGAGCTTGCTGGAAATGCAGAATCTCAGGCCTCTGGCAACTGTCATAGTTAGCTAGGACAGGATTTCTCAACCTTAGCATTACTGACATTCTGGACTGGAAACACTGGAAAATTCTTTGGCTTGGGGTGCTGTCCTGTGCATTGTAGAAAGTTTAGCAGCTGGCCAGGCACAGTAGCTCATGTCTGTAATCCCAGCACTTTGGGAGGCTGAGGTGAGAGGATTGCTTGAGCCCAGAAGTTCGAGACCAGCCCGGGCAGCATAGTAAGACCTTGTTTCTATAAAAAAATAAAAATAAAAAGTTTAGCACCATCCTGACCTCTGTTCACTAGATGCCAGTAGCACACTCCAGCCCTCTTGCCTTCCACATTGTAACAGCCATAATTGTCCCTAGACATTGCCATATGTCCCATTGGAGGCAAAATTGCCCCCTAGTTGAGAACCACTGATCTAAGGTTTATTATAATTGTTTTATTTTCACAGCATTTTTATGGTTTGTGATGATCTTTTTGTTTTTTGCTTTTTGGGGTTCTTTTGAGTTGGAGTCTCACTCTTGTCACCCAGGCTGGAGTGCAGCGGCACATTCGCAACCACAGCAGCCTTGACCAGTTGGGCTCAGGTGATCTTTTTGCCTCAGCCTTCCAAGTAACTGGAACCACAGGCATGTGCCACCATGCCTGGCTGATTTTTATTTATTGTAGAGACGAGGTTTCGCCATGTTGCTCAGGCTGGTCATGAACCCCTGAGCTCAGGTAATCCTCTCGCCTCCACCTTCCAAAGTGCTGGGATTACAGGTGTGAGCCACTGCGCCGACTGGTTTGTGATGATCTTTTATTGATGGCAAGCAAATGGAAAAAGGATTTTATGTTTTAGAATAATACCTGGTTTCTTTTTATAAGAAATTTAAGTTAATATGAGTGATGTAAGGGAAAATATTAAGCAAGTAGCAGTCATACCCCTTGAGCCCTTTCCTGACATTATTGTGTGGCCTTGTGTGTTGGAGGCTTTGTAGTCTCTCTGGTTCCTGGGACCTTTTTGAAGCCTCTGACTTGTTTCTCCTTGACCTTCCCCGTCCTCTCTTGGTTAACCGTCTTCCACTTTTCTCCTCTTCTACCCCCAGAAGCTGATATGACAGATTCTAGCAGTCTCCACTCTGAGAATCTCCCATTACCAGACTCTCCCTGGAAGAAGAAGCTGCGGAATAAGAATAAAGAAAAGACGAAAAAGACAGTGTCTTTGTGAGTGATGCCAGGGCACTTGGGCACTGGGAGCAGGAAGGGAGTTGGAGGGGTAAGCCGAGGATGGCAGGATCTTGGGTGGCTACTGAAAGGGTAAGAAGAAGGGATGGAAAGAGTCTTAAAGCTCAGTTGGGAAATGAAGCTCTTGGGAGAAGAGGTGGCTCACCCTGGAGGGTGACAGCAGACCCTTCCAGACCACCCGTGGGAGTAGAGTCTGAGACGCTAGAAATGCAGGGCTAAGGGAGTGTGGTTCCAGTCCAGCTGGCTGTCTTTTCCCTGTCTTCTCTGCTTTTCCTTCCTCATCTCTAATATGGAGGGGAGGGGGAGAATTGCTGAGTAGATCAAGAGTTAACACTTGACATATAATAAGTGCTTACTCGCTGTCTGTCAGTTGTTATTGGCTATTTACCTGGGAAGTGACTTATCTGAAAAGTGATGTGTTTTCTTTCCTAATATCAATATATCATGTAAACAAAAATGTCTCAGGCTTTCTCTGTCCCTTACCTACCCCTGCCTTCCAGTAAAATGGGTGTTACTTGAAAGTGTTCTGGGTCACCAGTGGTGGCTCACACCTATAATTCCAGCACTTTGGGAAGCCCAGGTGAAAGGATTGCCTGAGCCCTTGGATTAGAGACCAGCCTGGGCAACTTAGCGAGACCTCATCTCAACAAAAAAATCAAAAAATTAGCTGGACGTGGTGGTGTGTGCCTGTAGTTCCAGCTACTTTGAAGGCTGAGGCAGAAGGATCGCCTGAGCCCAGCAGGTTGAGGCTGTGGTGGCTTTGAGCGTGCCACTGCACTCCAGTCTGGTTGACAGAGTGAGACTCCAACTTAAAAGAAAAAAAAAGAGGCCAGGCTCGGCAGCTCGGCCTGTAATCCCAGCACTTTCGGAGGCTGAGGTGAGTGAATTGCCTGAGCCTGCAGGTTCAGGACCCACCTGGGCAACTTGGTGACACCTTGTCTCTACAATAAATAAAAAAAAATTAGCTGGGCTTGGTAGTGTGTGCCTGTAGTTCTGGCTACTTGGAAGGCTGAGGTGGAAAGATCGCTGGAGCCCAGCAGGTTGAGGCTGCGGTGGCCAGGAGCGTGCCACTGTACTCCATTCTGGGCAACAGAGTGAGACTCCAACTCAAAAAAAAAAAAAGAAAGAAAGAAAGAAACTGTTTCCTCTTTTTTTTTTCTTTTTTTTTTTTGAGTCAGGTTCTCACTCTGTTGCCCAGGCTGGAGTGCAGTGACATGATCACTTCTAACTGCAGTCTTGGCCTCCTGGACTTAGGTGATCCCTCCTCCTCAGCCTTCTGAGTAGCTGGGACTACAGGTGTGTAACGCCATGCCTGGCTGATTTTTTGTAAAGTCAAGGTCTCACTTTGCTACCTAGGCTGGTCTTAAACTCTTGGGCTCAACAGGAACTCCAGGAAGCTCAAGCTCCTCCTGCCTTGGCTTCCCAAAATGCTGGGATTGCAGGTGTGAGCCTCTAAGGTCTTCCCTCTTGATTTTCCAGGAATCTGGTTCCTAGGGGTCCGCAGCTCATGAAGAGAGGTGTGGGACTGGACTTTCTCTTTTGCCTCCAACCTGCCCCCTTTTCTCTACAGGGATCGGGACACCTCTCCTTTGCCCCCATCTCCACCAAGGACCAAAAGCAGAAAGCATACCCGAGCACTTAAGAAGTTAAGGTGTGAAGGGCAGGGGCTCTGGCCGAGTGGAGGGGGCAGTTTGGGAGGGTGACTGACTCCAGCTGACCCAAAGCCCTCTCTGCATCCCAGGGAGGTTAACAAGCGCCTCCAAGATCTCCGTTCCTGCCTGAGCCCCAACCAGCACCAGGGCCAGCAGCACCAGAGCCAAGAGGACGAGGTGGTCCTGGTAGAAGGGCCCGCCCTCCCAGAGGCCCCCCGACTCTTCCCGCTCAAAATCCGGTGCCGGGCTGACCTGGTCAGATTGCCTATCAGAATGGTGAGTGCCTGAGGCCTGTGGGAAAAGGACTCAGGAGCTGCCTTTGGAGAGAAGGGACCTTTGGCGAAGACACCATGGCTTCATTTTCCCATCTTCTCTCTGGAGCTACCCACCACCTTCAGCCATCTATGCCTTTGTGTTTGCTATCCCTCTGTCTGCATTTTCCTGACTCTCCTTTCTCTTTCTGGCAAATTTCTACCCATTCTTCAAGGCTCCACTTAAAGCATTTTGTCTTGGATTGTTTGTTTGTTTTGGCAGAGTCTCACTATGTTGCCCAGGATGGTCCTGAACTCCTGGCTTCAAGTGTTCTTCCCACCTCAGCCTCCCAAAGTGCTGGGATTATAGGCTTGAAGCACTCTGTCTTTTTTTTTTTTTTTGAGTTGGAGTCTCACTCTGTTGCCCCACCTAGAGTGCAGTGGGAAGCACATGGCTACCGCAGCCTCGCCCTGCTGGGCTCAGGTGATCCTTCTGCTTCAACCTTCCAAGTAGCTGGAACTACAGGCATGCGCCACCATACCCAACTAATTTTTTGGTGTATTGTAGAGATGTCTCGTCAAGTTGCCCAGGCTGGTGTTGAACCTGTGGGCTCAGGCAGTCCTCTCACCTGGACCTCCCAAAGTGTTGGGATTATAGGCGTGAGCCACTGTTCCTAATCACACTGTCTCATAAGAAACTTTTTAATAGTCCCTCCCCAGGGAGAGTCTCCTATGGCTTTCCTCCCTCATGCTTGCTCTCATTGCATTGAACACAGCGATGTCACTCAGTCATCCTGAGTTCCCCCAGCTTCCGGGTGGCAACTGGTAATTTTGTAGAGATAATCCCACTTCAATGCCAAGGATGGTTACAGAAATTTCTGCTTATTAGCAGTAACTGAACATCGGCCAAGAGGTTGCAGACTGACCGCAAGAGCACATCTGCTTTCTTTGCACTCCTTAGCAAGAGCACATCTGCTTTCTTTGCACTGTAAAGTGCTCATGAGTTGGTGGCCAACCTTTGCCATCAGTGATTTCATCCAAAGGTCCAGATTTTTTACTTCTCTTTAGAAAATCAGAAGGTGTAGTCCCAGTGGTCCCCATTCCCACATGGTCATTCGGAGCTATGTGGTAGCCAGGCTGCTGAGATGTGTGTATGGGTTCCAGACTGCTGCATCCCCGTCACCCCTTTTGTCCTCCTAACCCATGGCTGCTATACTTCTTGGTGTTACTTATCTGAACTCCTTACTGACATGATTTTATTCTATACCTTACCATGTAAGTGTGATGACACAGCTGAGGAGCTCAGTGAGTAGCCAGGGCTACAGACGTGTGTTGGGTGGCGATATGGTGGTGGGGATGGGACAGGAAATATCACAGTAGGAAGGCTTCTTGCTTTTTGTCCCCATCCCCAGTCGGAGCCCCTACAGAGTGTGGTGGACCACATGGCCACCCACCTTGGGGTGTCCCCAAGCAGGATCCTCTTGCTCTTTGGAGAGACAGAGCTATCTCCTACCGCCACACCCAGGACCCTAAAGCTTGGAGTGGCTGACATCATTGGTGAGAGGAAGGCAGGGAAGTGGGGCCTTAAGGCTTTTGCCAGGGGACAGGGCTATGGGGAAAGGTCCAGGGTGGGCCCTGCTCTCGCCTCCTACTTAGGCCTAGCTTCCCAATCCTGCCTCTCACAGACTGTGTGGTGCTAGCAAGTTCTACAGAGGCCGCAGAGACGTCCCAACAGCTCCAGCTCCGGGTGCAGGGGAAGGAGAAACACCAGATGCTGGAGGTCTCGCTGTCTCGAGTGAGTGGGAAAAATGGCTCTCCATGCCCTTCACCCTTTTTTCTGCTGTCTCTTGTTGTTAGTTAATGGAGGATAGGCTCCTTCCAATCCTAACTTGCTGGGGATACTGCCCTCCATATTCTTCTTGGGTTACCACCAGATAGTGGAAAAAGGCCATTGCTCAACTGCTGGAAACCTCTGCTCTAGTCTGTGTCCCCTTAGTTGCCTGACTCCTACTGGTTAAAACAGAAAGGACCCTTGAGTAGTAATCAATAAAGCCCATCCAAGTAACAATGAAGCCTAAGCATCTAAGTGCCAGTCCCTGTGCTGAGGATAATGACTTCACATTCAAGATCTTATTTCATTTCACAACAATCTTATGTGGGAAAGCACTGCTGTTAACCTCATTTAACAAATAAGGAAACGGAGGTTTAGAGAGGTGGAGTAACTTGCATTAGTGTCTTAGAACTCTGGAGGAAGAAGCCTAAAGGCAAGGTGTCAGCAGGGCCATGCTCCCTCTGAGACTCTGGGTAGAATCCTTCCTTGTCTCTCTAGCTTCTGGTGGCCAGAGTTCCTTGACTTGCAGCTCTGTGACTGCAGTCCCAGTGTTCATCATTGCATGATGTCTCTGTCTGTGTCTTTGTTTTCTCCTCCTGTAAGTACACCAGTCATGGTGTTAGCAGGCATCCTAAACGAGCCTGTCCTCATCTTAACTCGATTGCGTCTGCAAAGGCCCTATTTCCATATAAGGTCACACTCACATTTACCAGGGGTTAAGACCACTAAGTGTCTTTTCAGGGACGCAATTCAGTCCATAACATTTGTCTTAGGTCACCCATCTAGTAAGTGGGAGAGTCTGGCGTCCGGCTTGGATCATTCTCACTCTAGAATCTGGCCTCTCTTTGTTGTTTTTAAGTTAGGGTCTTGTGTTGTCCAGACTGTAGTGCAGTGGCACAATCGTAGCTCACTGCAACCTTGGACTTCCAGGCTCAAACAATCCTCCTGCCTCACCTCCTGAGTAGCTGGGACTGCAGGCATGCCACTGCACCCTGCTTGGGCTCTCTTAATCCTTGATATATATCTCCATTTTATAGGGGAGGAGAGTGAGGCTTAGAGAACTTGCCTGACTCAGAACCTGCATCCCTCAGCCTTGAGTCCGTGGCCCCCACTGTCTATCTGAGGAACCTGCAGCTCAGAAGGATGAAGGGACTCATCCCAGCTTCCAGAGAATAACCCGACTGTGCTGGCTTCTTTGTCCTCTCGCTTTTCCCTCCATAGGGCTCAGACTTCACTGATTTGGTCCTTTGTCCTTCCTGTCCCAAGTTCTCTGTCCCTGTAGGGTCTCTCCAGCCCCTCTTTTCACATTCTTACATTCATTTATTTTTTCTCCTTCTAGGATTCCCCTCTCAAGACCCTCATGTCCCGCTATGAGGAAGCCATGGGACTCTCGGGACACAAGCTCACCTTCTTCTTTGATGGGACGAAGCTTTCAGGCAAAGAGCTGCCAGCTGATCTGGGCCTGGAATCTGGGGACCTCATTGAAGTCTGGGGCTGAAACCCTAGCCTGAACTTGGAGAGAACGATTCCTCTTTTTTTGCCCTATAAGGGCTAGCCGAAGCTGAAGTAGAACTTATCTTTAAACTGAAGCAGAATCAAGGAGTGATCTTTGGCCCCTCTCCTACTGATCTTGGTTTCAAGTCATTACTACTTGGTTAGTCGTGTGGTTGTTGCTGCCTAGGTGGCCTGTGGCTCCATCCACATATTGTGCTGGATCTTGCAGCCCTTGTGACATGAAGGTATCTCCCCTCCCCCCCTCCCCTCCATTATCACCCTTCATGTCTGCTCTTTGAAACTGCTCATATTTAGAGAGTGAGTTGAAATAAATGAGGGCTTTCAGACCTGGGATTTATGCCACATGTAGGCCAAGCAGTGACCTTAGTCTCATTTGGGGGTTGGGAGTGGCATTTGCTTGAGGCACATACACTGATGTGGTTTCCAGCATGTAGGAAAATAAATGATCAGGCTCACATGCATGGGCTGGAGCATAATGAGACAACTGGAACGCTCTGGAAGGATGAAGGTAGTAGATTCTTAGCCTGGGTCATCTTTCTCACCCCAGGACTCTTTGCAGCTACCCCTTCTGGTCTACACTTCCTGGTACACACATTAAGGCATAACTGAGTTCATTCAGCCATTTTGTTTTATGTGTTGGGAATACAGCCCCATGCAAGGATTCGCTGGTTTAATGGCTTTTTTTCACCATCCTGTCTCATAAGCACCCCGTCTAATATGTTTATTACATGTCTTTGAATATAAATATCTTCCTGCAAAGTACAATGTTCATAGTGAATATATGCTTTTACATAGTGATATTGTGCAATAGATCTTGTGCTGTTTCCACTGACTATGCATTAAGATCCGCTCTGTTGCCTCTTCTAGATATGCATCGTTGCTTTTAACTGCCTCGTGGCATTCCACAGTGGCATCGATGGTGATTTACATACACTGCTTTAAGTGGGGACAGTTGGGTGCCTCTACTTCCTCGGCACAGGATTCAGGGCTACGATAAACATTTTTGATGTGTCCCCTGCTGTGCTTGTGTGAAAAGTTCGCATAGGTACCCAGGATGGGGTGACAGGTTATACGGGTTAATTTCTCTGTGGTTTCCAGATTTTACTTTAGATGATTGACTCTCCCACTTGAGGGTTCTCATTTCTCTTCATCCTCACCAACTCTTGGCATTGCCCAACTCTCTACTTTTGCCAGTTGGATGGGGTAATGTGGTTTTGTGTTTTAATATACATTTGTCCGACCACAGTAATTTGGGGAATTTTTTCACCTGTTAGCCTTTCTGATTACCCTTTCTGTGAATTGCTCATTTTCTCATGGGGCTTCCTGTCTTTATTCTCAGGAGTTGCTCATATATTCTTGGGCAAGGAGCATTACAAGTAACTCTCAGAATGGAAATTCATCTGTCTGTGTATCTAGGGATATCTTTCACTGAACAGAAATTCTTAATTTTAATGTAGATAGAATTAACTGTTTTGTTACAAAGTTTGTCATTGTTTAATTTCTTATTTAAAAGCTAAGATTTTTCATTTTCTTCTGTTAGCTCATTTGTTTTTCCCTTCATATTGAGGCCACTAACAGGGCTACAGTTCATCTAGGATGCCCTGGTGTGGTACTTAGTTGGCATCTGTTCTCTGTAGGCAAATGCTTGTTCTGATTGGTTGATACCAGGCTGTAGGCTTTACTGGTTGCCAAAATTGAGCATCACTTTTAAACTATTTTAAATGCACTTTTGTACTCAGGAGGCTGAAGCAGGAGGATTGGTTGAGTCCAGGAGTTCAAGACTGGCTGGGCGATGTAGCAAGACCTTGTCTCTTAAAAAAGTTTTTTTTCTATGAAATGCACCTTTGTAATATGAGATCCAAGTTTCATTTTTTACCGTACAATGAGCCAGTTTTCTCAGTACTGTCTACTAAAAAAGCCACTAATCTTCCACCGATAAGTTGCATAATTTCAGCAAAAGATGTCAAGTTCTTAAAAATTTTTGTTGGAATGTGGCATTCCTTTGAATTTTATAATGTTTAAATAATCCATGATGGCCAGGCATGGTGACTCGAGCCTGTAATCCCAGCATTTTGGGAGGCAGAGGCGAGAGGATTACCTGAGCTCAGGGATTTGAGACCAGCCTGGGCAACTTGGTGAGACCTCATCTCTACAATAAATCAAAAAAATAAGCCAGATGTGGTAGCATGCACCTGTAGTTCAGTTACTTGGAAGGCTGAGGTGGAAGGATCGCCTGAGCCCAGCAGGTGGAGGCTGCGGTGGCCATAAGCATGCCACTGCACTCCAGCCTGGGTGACAGAGTGAGACTCCAACTCAAATAATAATAATAATAATCCATGCTATGTTATAGCTGTCCATTTTTTTCAGATTTTTAATGTCCATTAATGTTTGAACACATTAAAATTATGTATGTCACCTCAACAGAATAAATGAGAATACATCCAACTTGTGTATACTTGAGGATTTCTGTCTTTGTGCTCTCACATGTGACCCCACTAAAATCTTTGTGACAGAGACTGTTCCCTCATATCCATTCTTCTCTCTTCCAGGGTAATAGAACCTATGGGTTTTAGTGAAGCACAGAGACATTAGAATAAGGACAGGGCCAGGCATGGTGGCTCATACCTATAATCCCAGCACTTTGGGAGGCCAAGGCAAGAGGACTGCTTGAGCCCAGGGGTTCGAGACCAGCCTACACAAAAAATCAAAGATTAGCCAGACATGGTGGCACTTGCCTGTAGTCCCACCTAGTTGGGAGGCTGAGGCAGAAGGATCATCTGAGCCCAGGAAGTTGAGGCTGTGGTGAGTCAGGATCGTGCCACTGCACTCCAGTCTGGACAACAGAGTGAGATCCCGAGTCAAATAATAATGAGGACAGTGCTTTCTAGCTTTCTTTGTGGCCACATTTGGCTGGATGCCAGTTCAGGCTCCTGTGATGTAAGTAGATGGGGGACTGCTTCCTGGAAGTGTGGGCCCTTCTCTTTTGCTTGCCTCCTGCCTACTGCCTGGAAGTGGAATGGCCCTGCTGATGGCGGAGGTGACCTCTGGAACAAGTCACCGGGGACAGAGCAACGAGAGAAGGAGCCTGGTGTCAACCTCCATGGAGCACCTCACCAGCCCCTCGGCACAAGAGGGATCGGCAGTCGCTGGGCACTGCCAGCGGAGGGAAGAAGAGAGGGAACCCATGACAACACAAAGGGTACCTGGTCCCAAGCCAGGGGAAGTGAGGGCTAGTTGGAGGCCCAAAGTTCACCTGCGTGCAGCCTACTTGTGTAGTTAATCCTTAACCTGTACCCACATCTCTATAATAAAATAAAAGACCTGCCAGGTGATTTTTCTAAAACTCCTGATTAGAGACCTTCGAAACTGCGGGTGTAGTGGCTCACGCCTGTAATCCCAGCACTTTGGGAGGCCAAGACTTTGAGGCCAGCCTAGGCAACATAGTGAGACCCTACTCTGTGAAAAACCCAGGAGGTCTAGGCTGCAGTGAGCAGTGATCATGCCACTGCCCTCTAGCCTGGGCGACAGAGTGAGACCCTGTCTTGAAAAAAAAAGCAGTGTTTTCAAGAAGCTTGCAGTTCAGTAGGGAACAAGTCATGGGTCAGTAGGTGAGTGTGCTGAGCTAGTCCCCGGCTCCATGCTGAGACGGCCACAGAGGATGTGACCAGTCCTAGGAGGGCCCTTATGGGGGAACTGACCCCTGAGTTGGAGGGGTGGGGAGATGGGAGATTGTAAAGGTGCACAGAAAAAAGGCAAAATGAGAGCCGTGGTCAGCTGCCTCACATCACCTGGGAGCTTGTTAGAAATCCAGAATCTCAGGCCACACCCTAGAGCTGTGATCCAGCCCCTGCATTTTAATGGAATCCCCAGACGAAATCCCCAGACAACTTGTGTGCACAGTAAACTGTGAGAATCACTGGTCTTGAGAATTCTGAGCTGTATGTCAGACCCACCCAAGTCTACAGCTGGCTGTGCAAAAGAGCAACCGTGTAGCCTGGCCACCCTTTCAAAGCTTGTTTTTTTCTGTAAAATGGGAATAACAACACCTACTTCATAGGATTGTTCTGAGAATGAATGAGGTTATGAAAAGTGCCTGGTATGTGGCACCAAGCAAAGGCTTATAAAAGTTTTCTTTTTTCTTTTTTGGCCAGGCGCGGTGGCTCACGCCTATAATCCCACACTTTGAGAGGCCGAGGTGAGAGGATGGCCTGAGCCCACAGGTTCGAGACCAGCCTGGGCAACTTGGCAAGACCTCATCTTTACAATAAATCAAAAAATTAGCCGGATGCGGTGGCACGCGCCTGTAGTTCCAGCTACTTGGAAGGCTGAGGTGGAAGAAATGCCTGAGCCCAGCAGGTTGAGACTGCGGTGGCTGTGAGGAGGTCACTGCCCTCCAGCCTGGGTGACAGAGTGAGACTCCAACTCAAAAAAAAAAAAGATACTGTTTTGTTCTTGAAGATCTCCTGCTTCGTGTCTGACAAGTGGTCACCTGACGCATGAATGACTAGGTTCCCTGTCTCAAAGGCTCCCACTTCCATTTCATTGGACGAGCTGGAAAAGCTTCGCTGGATACTTCATCCCCCACACCCACTTCATCACCCATTCCACTTAACTGCCCTGGCTCGCTCCCAAACCTTCTCCTTTCTGTCCTCCATCCCATCCTAGGCCAAAACACTACTGCCTGCAGCCTAGTCCGGTGCCACAGCCGCCTCCCAGGTTACTCCCCTTCCCCTCTGGCCCCCTCCAATCCATCTTCCATGCTGCGGCCTGAGTGATCTCAAATGTAAATCTAATTTTATTTTATTTATTTATTTTTTGAGTTGGAGTCTCACTCTGTCACCCAGACTGGAGTACAGTGGCCGCTCCCGGCCACCGCAGCCTCGACCTGCTGGGCTCCGGCGATCCTTCCGCCTCAACCTTCCAAGTAGCCAGAATTACAGGCATGCGCTACCAAGCCTGGCTAATTTTTTGTTATTGTAGAGATGAGGTCTCGCTGCCCAGGCGGGTCTCGAACCCGCGGGTTCAGGCAATCCACTCACCTCAGCCTCCCAAAGGCACGGGATTATAGGCTGAGCCACTGAGCCTGGCTTATTTTATTTTTGAGTCAGGGTCTTACTCTGTCACCCAGGCTGGAGTGCAGTGGCACAATCATGGCTCACCACAGTCTCAACCTCCTGGGCTCAGGCAGTCCTTCAAGTCCTACAAGGTTTTTTATAGAAACAAGATCTCACAATGTTGCCTAGGCTGGTCTCCAACTCCTGGGCTCAAGCAATCCTCCTGCATTGGCCTCCCAAAGTGCTGGGATTACAAGTGTGAGCCACCACACCCAGCCTAAATCTGATTTTCTTTTCTTCTTATTTTTGAGTTGGTGTCTCACTCTTGTCGCCCAGGCTGAAGTGTAGCGGCACACTCACGGCCACCACAGCCTCCACCTGCTGGGCTTAGGCGATCCTTCTGCCTCAGCCTTCCACGTAGCTGGAACTACAGACACACGCCACCATGTTCAGCTAGTTTTTTTGTGATTTATTGTAGAGACAAGGTCTCACCAAGTTGCCCAGGCTGGTCTTGAACCCCCCAGGCTCAGGCAATCCTCTCACCTCAGCCTCCCAAAGTGCTGGGATTACAGGCTGAGCCACCGTGCCTGGCCCTAAATCTGATTTGAAATGAAGGAAATCTTTGCCATGCCTAGCCCTGCCTCACAGCCCTCTTCCCTCCCTTTCCCATCACTCCAAGTGACCTTCTTTCAGATCCAGTGTTCATCATGCCTCCTCTTGGCAAGGCCTTTACACATTTTCTCC